ATAGTGTAGTGTACTATAGAAGTGTAGTTACTATTAGTAGTTACTATAGTTACTATAGTAGTTAGAAACTACTCAAGAAAAGCATGTTTTTATATATATATATATATTTTTTTTTTTTTCATTTTTTTTAGGTGCCCCAAGAAGTCCTTACGGTCTTATCGCAGAGCACCGCGGATGAGCATTTAATTGGAAGTTCACGCCTCATTCCTAACCGATGTCGCAGGACATGCCCAGAGGTGGGGTTTGAACCACGGATCTTTTGTTTCTGAGGCAAGTGTGTTACCACTGTGCCACGGCTGGTCTAGAGCTGGTCTTATATATAGTAACTACACATGTAAAAAATAACTAACTCAAGAAAAGCATGTTTTTTTACATGTGTAGTTACTATAGTTACTATAGTAGTGTAGTTACTAGTGTAGTATAGTAGTATAGTTACTATAGTAGTGTAGTTAGTATAGTAGTGTACCCTACTATAGTTACTATAGTAGTTTAGTGGTACCCTATAGGTAGCTATAGTAGGTAGTGGTACCCTAGGGTAGCACTACGGGGTAGTACTACCCTAGGTAGCTACGCCTTCTTTATATATATATATATATATATATATATATATATATATATATATATATATATATATATATATATATATATATATATATATATATATATATATATATATATATATATATGTATATATATATATATATATATATTTATATATATATTTATATATATATATATATATATATATATATATATATATATATTTATATATATATATATTTATATATATATATACCAGGCAAACATTGTTTTAGCGGATTTGTAGTAGACTTATATAAGTATTTTTTAGCAGTTTATTAAAGTTTTGCTCATCGGTCACTTAGTGGATTATAAGTGGCAACCGCTATAAATGTATGCCAGTAATGGTCCGTTAAGTAACTGATGAGCAAAACTATATTGGTTCGCTCAAAATGCCTATATAGGTCCATCGAAATTTCGCTTGTATTATACAACGTGGAGTTCAATGAATATGTTATCAAAACTCATAAATAGGTTGATTACTATAATGGAAGTTATGTGATAAATGGCGTTTGTGACAAGCATTTTTTTTTTCAGTTTTTACGAGTTGAAGTGGCATTTTTTGCAAAATGTATCAAGAATCTTACTCAAGTGGTTAATTTCCAGAGTGAAACAAAGGTCTTTATGGTATCCCCGTTACCAACTATAATAACTTTGAAAGAGAAAATGATGTTCTTTTTTTGTAACAGCTCAATCAATTACTGCAAGCTGGGTGTAGTAAACAAAGAAGCTGCTATACATATCATGTTTAATCAATGCATCAAGTATGCAGAATTATAGCATTAGCAATTATCCATCCAAAATATAAGACAGTTTGTGTTAAAGATAACAAACAAAAGAAAAATGTAAATATTTTTAGCCAGGTGTTGCTTTCTGCAGCAACACCTGGCTAAAAATAGTAACATTACAAGAGCAAATTCACCAGATGTGGACACCATGTCAGAAATTGCTGCTGATAACATTGTTTTAACACACATTATCACCGAAGCGTGTTTAGCGTCATCGAAGCGTGTTTAGCGTCACCGAAGCGTGTTTAGCGTGTTTAGCGTCTGTGTTGAAAATTTTTTGAGATGTATTTGTTGAGTTCTTATTTAGAATTTTATATTAACCATGTTTTTAAACAGGAATATTAAAGTTATTGTTTTGTTTTGTTGTTGCTAACGCTTTTATTTACTTTATAGGTGTTAAACACTTCATTCGTATCATGGAAATGTACTAACTTCGTAGATATGTTGAATTTTTTCTGCCATATTTAATTTTCTACATTCATTATTTATTTACTTTTAAAATTTCATAGAGATATTTTCACGCTCTTAAGTCTAATTTCTAATATCAGAAAAAAATTATCCGAGAAAAAATCCCTCTGGTAAAAATCCCCCAATCAAAAAAACTCAAACTGTTTCTTTATATACTTTGATTCACATTAATACTTCATTTCCGCTAAGCTAGTTTTTGTAGGATTTTTGCTTATATTTATGTTTAATTTATCTCAACTTTTTTTAATGACTCCCCGATTTTTGAAAAATGCTATCGGTAAAATCTAGAAAAAATTTATAATGAAGTGAAAAATTAATAAAAAAACTTATAACATTTTTTAAATGTTATAAATTTTTTTTAAAAACCCAAAATAAATCAACGTAATAGTTGTTTCTATGTTACAAACAAAGCTTTTATCAAAAATTTATTTTTCACGTCAAGTTATGCGTAATCTTCAACCTGTAGGATTTCAACCTGGCGTATGGGCTTTTTTTAAGTATTTATTCTATAATTTTGATACAAAGTGATTGAAATAGGCGATGCAAACCCTCGATATCATTGTTGGTTCTTCTGGTGCGTTTAATAAAACATAACCCAAATTTTTATTTTAAAAAGTGGAGCATTTTGGAAATGCAAGTGGAGCATTTTGTCTAAATTTTCCTGTGTAAGATACTAATTAAAGTATCTGCATACTCTACAAGCCTATACTTTCCCAAGAGAATCTAAAAGCACTCTGTGGAAGTACAAATAAATCTAAACTAAATTCTCTATATATACACCAGAAACACGCATGATAGGTTTATCATAAAAATAAATTCACTCATGCCGATCCCTTACTTAAAAGCTTGAATGCATTAAATATCTACCAAATTAACATCTACCAAAATATTTTATTTATGCCCAAATATATTCTCGGACTTGTTCCAATTTATTTTAATAATATATTTTTTCAAATCAACGCCAACAGATCACATAAAGAGCTGGTAACTTCACATTGCCCATTAAAAAAACAAAATTCTCAAGATTTTCAACTTTATACCGTGACCTCACTTACGCAATAAAATAATACCTCAAAATGTAGAACTTACTATATTGGATAATCAAATTGTTCTGAAGAAAAAACTAAATGGTCTAATAATTAACAAAAATATTTTTATCGGTATGCAGGGTCGTTCCGAGGGGTCCTGTCCTGTCGGTATGTATGATGTGTATTAGATATTAAAGATAAGAAATATTGATAACAATTAAAATAAAAAATAAAAAATAAAGAAATTAAAAAAAATAAAAATAATAATACATAAAGTTAACAACTATACACAGTAAAATATTACTGAACAGTAAACATCAAAAGGTTAATGTGTGTTTTGTAAATATACTTTTTAAATTTTTAGTTTATTTTGCATCATAAAGGTTCTCGATAATAAGCCTGATTGTTGTCTTCGAGTTTTCTTCCAACTACATTATATTCAACGACAACCACAAGCATGTCCCTAGTAACCCACTAGTGCAACGAACTTGCGTATATTTTTTAAATGCTTGGATTAGTAGGTAGCACTTTATATTATAAACCACAAATATTCAAATTAACTATTTTAACCCACTGTCAAGCGCACTTGCGCATAACAGCATTCTTAACTTTTTTTACAGCTTGTAAATATGTGTGGTGTACATATATATAAACTATATAAACTGGAGACATGTAAATATTACTTTTTTGAAATATATAATAGTGATTGTTGTAAAAGAAAAAGAAAAATAATAAATAAATAAAAAAGCACTGCTCTGATATAACTCCAATTTAAAGAAGAAGTTTTAAAGGTTTGTGCTCGAAACTAAATTCCTTTTGCTTTCAAAAATAATGACTTTTTTTCTCTAAAATAAATATTGAACAAATAAAATGGCAAACTTAAATAGATTTTTATTTTTTCTTAAACTCTTTAATTAAAAAAAAGATTGTAAATTTATATCTATGTATATATCTATGTATTGATGTAAAGTTATTATGAAAGATTGCTAATTTTAGAGAAAAAAATTTTCAACTCACCGATTTATCTATTCTACTTTTAAGGATAGGCATAAATGAAATACAAAAAGAACCTCAAGCCTTATAAACCTGATAATTTTATGTGTTTTTCTTAGTTTCACAAATTTATTAGTTTTATTACACAAATAATAAAACTAATAAATAATAAGTAAAAATAAAAGTATATTCTGAAAAGGTTGTAAATATTTTTATATCAAAAATATTTACTGATTTGTAGTTATTAGCAAAAAACAATCAAGTTTAATTATTATTATTTTCTTAAACACTTACTGTAAAAATATTTACAAGGTAAAAGTACACACAAAAAAAAATTGTTTAAACTTTGAAAGGAAGAAAAGAAATTATTTTGGAATGTTTTCTTCTAGAGTTTGCTTGAAAATGTTTCTCTGTTCTATTATGTTCCATCAATCTAATGAGTATTTCAATTTTTTCTCAATATCTTTTGGGATTTTATCCCCCCACCACCACAAAACGTATTATATTAATACGTTTAAAACACATAACAAAAACACTTAAAACGTATAATAATATTAATAATAAAAATAACAACAACAACAACAACAACAAGAAAAACAACAACAACAACAACAACAACAACAACAAAAATAACAACAACAACAAAAATAATAACAACAACAAAAATAACAACAACAAAAACAACAACAACAACAATAACAACAACAAAAATAACAACAACAATAGCATTAGTACCAAGAGTGACAATTATAAAAATAGAAGTGATAAGTTAGAATACTAATAAAATTAATATAGTCAAAAAGAATAAAACATTGAAGTTAATAAATGATAATTAAAGCATTATAAAACATAAAAAAAAAATATTAGATACGCAGTAAACATTGTTTGACGTTTATAAGACGTCTAAAAAATAGCAATATTAGATACACAGTTAACACTGTTTGACGTCTATAAGACGTTTAAAAAATAGCAATATTAGATACACAGTAAACACTGTTTGACGTCTATAAGACGTCTAAAAAATAGCAATATTAGATACACAGTAAACACTGTTTGACGTCTATAAGACGTCTAAAAAATAGCAATATTAGATACACAGTAAACACTGTTTGACAAGATGTCTGAAGCGAAGGTTTTTTAGGCGTCTATCGTGCGTTTACGGGGTAAGTAAAAAGCTTAAAGTCAGGATTATGAATAATAAGTTATAAAGTGGTATAATAGTCGTAAACATTTTTTTTCCTGTTAATTGGTTACCAGTTTTTATAGAAATTTAAAAAAATTTTAGTTGGAAAGAGAGCCATACTGGTCCTTTAATAAATTCTAGATCGATAAAAATGTAAAATTTTTAAAAATTTTGTAGACCACAAACCTGTCGAAATTAAACTTCTACCTGTCTATAGTTTTTGGAAAAGCTTATCGAAAAAAATTAAAGAACACGAAACATGCAGTGCACATTTTAAGTGCTTCCAATACTAGATAAAATTATACATACTGTTTCTTTTTACTTACTACTTGTTACTATCTTTAATGTTTATTTATTTATTTTTAATTTTTTCTATTGCTGGCATAGCGAATCAAGGCACCACAGACGAGCAACAACAAATGCTGTTTCATAAAAAGCAAATTTTTTGGAAACCTATGTTGGAAAACATGCTTGATATTATCTTATTTCCTTCGTCGAAAAATCTTGCATTCCGTGGTTAAGGTACGAATAGTTCAAGGACCAATGGAAACTTTTTCTGGGTATTTGAATTACCGACTAAAATGATACTGTTCTCGATAAGCTTATACAAAGAATACTACTGAATACTAAGAATTTACTAGATTAACGGGAGTCATTTAACTGCAATCATAATGGTGCTATCCAAAATTGGATGTCCTCTAGTGAGTACATATTTATCTGTGAAATATATTTACAAACTTTTATGGTATATTTAAGATGTTGAAAATTTTTTAATGTTGTAACTTTTTAATTTAGAAAATACAACCATTGCTCTGTATACTTAGTATTTTAATGTTTTAAAGATGAGAACCCTGAGATGAGAGAAGAAAACATTAGTCAAGAGTTCTTAGACTAGACTAATTTTTGTTTTCTATACACAAGGAAGACATTTTCTAGTTAATTAGACAGGATCCTAGATGGAATAAAGAGGCTGTAAAGGGTGATTCTATTTTTTTGAAGAGATTTTTGAAAAAGGACATTGTCAAAATGTCATACAAAAATGACAAAATATTTGCTGAAATAGTTTCTGAAAGTGAGAAAAGGATGAAAAACCTGCAGAAAAACCTGAGGAAGATGATAGAAGAAGAGAAACAAAAGCGATTGTTGAGCAAAAAAAAAAAGAAAGTTACTGGAAAATGCAGGAGAAGAAAAAGCTTTGAAAAATTTTGAGCAGAAATTCTCCAGTGGTTGTAGTGGAACAGATTAATACGATTCAGACTTTGAGACTTCTACTGCAAAGAAAAAAAAGTTGTATGATTCAACAAAGATTTACCTTCAACTCAGTCTGAATGACTTTTTAATTAAGTAGATTCCATTTATGACAAGATAACTAAGTTTATGTATAAAAAAGTGAAGAATATTATTATGAAGTATAAGTGAAGTTTAATCTCATCCTAGTCCAATTTTTTGGCTAATAGTGCAGGCCACTATGTACCTTCGTGTGCACATACGTGTTACAAGCAAATTTTTTTTTTGATATGAGATCCTTGTATAATAAGGATTTGAAAAATGACAGGTGTCACTCGACTTTCATTTCGCGTGATAGGTGGTATGACGTAACTGGTCCTCATAACAACTATTTTCTTTTTTAGCAAATTAAAATTTTTTTATACAAATCGAAAGAGCATAAATCAGGTATTCAAAATAATATAAAAACATATGTTGAAAGTTTTTATTTAAAAAGATACAGGAGTAAATATGTTTTTATTAAACCGGAGGTATACCGCTGCTTTGTGAATATTTCATGCTTGACGATTGAATTATTTCAAATGTTTTGATAATGTTATTTAATTTTTACATAATTCTACTTATAAGAATGCAACAATTCGAATGATTTGTATTTGTTTTTGGCTTTTAAAAACGTTTTTATACTGTGTTATTGTTGTTTCACAAATTAAATATTATTACAAATGGAGGACGAAGAACGAAAAAAAAAGAAAAAAGACAACAATTAAGAATTCTTCCTTAGAATGAGCACAACCCCAAATTCTGATGATGCTGTTGCAAATGATGCTAAATACCTCTTAAAGTGTTGGGTAACAGTGCAGAGATCTGTTAAATTGACAACAACTCAAGGAGAAATTCAAGAATTGGATGATATTGGACGGGTTATCGCCGATGTAGAAATCATTGGTTTAGTCCATTTGAACTTAAAAGATGGTTTTGCTATGGATATGAAAAACATCAATAAAACTTACAACAACTTAATTGGATATAATGACCAGACTGAGGTGAATTATAAACGTGACTTAAAGAAACTTCTACAAAATAACGTGGCAGAAATAATTTTTTCAAGACCTCCGTGCCGTAGAAAGTCCGTCTGTAGAAAGTCCAGCTTTGCTCTAGCAAATATCAAGCAAAGGCGGTAGATAACTTTAAAAACAATCCGGATGATTATACAACAATAAGCAAATCTCACATTGCTAAAAAACGGATCAAGATTTCAGAGTTTTTCATGTTACTGAAACACCTTTTTCAGTCGGCCTCGGATTACATGTGCATAAAGAAACCCGTTAAAAGAAGCTGGTGAGCTGCTTGGCGTATTTTAGACTTTCTATTTCCTATGATAGTGTTATAAAGATCGAAAATCGATTAGGAAACGCTGTTATTGAAAACATATCAACAAACCGATGCACATTTGTACCTCCTAATATTGGCATTCCTTTTTGTAAAATTGTTTCTGATCATGCTTTAGAACAGGAAAACAAGGTTTTGAAGGTAGCAGGTGGAGTGATTGGTATTACACAAAGTCCAACGTGCTTAAACCGTTTTTGCCTTATTGCTCCTGCTTATCATATTCCATATCATATTGCTCCTGCTTATCATATTCCATAACTCCATATCAAAAATATTTTGCGAAAAAAATAATATTGGATAACAATTTCGTAAACAACACTACCAAATGGCTGGATCTACTAACGAAAGAATTTCATCAAATGTAAAAAAAGTCATTGATTCATTTGATACTTTTGGCATCCACTTCAACAAAAATCAGGTGGTTTTTAATCTTGTGTCCAAAGCCATTTTGTCAAAAGAAGTAGCAGATGAATTAGTTTATCATGGAAAAATCGAAGAAGAGCTTTACCGTTCTTTTGTTACTGAAAGGTTAAAAAGAAGCATATCTATATGATCGCTAATGAAGATGAGAAATCTAAAAACATTCATAAATCAAGCCAAAGTTTTAAAAATAAAGATAGATAATAAAGTAATTCAACTAAAAGAAGAGCGCACCTTATTATCTCGTTTTCTACTTAGTGCAAGAAAACGCCCAGAGCTTGATTTGGAAAAAAGCATTGGTAGCTATGAGTTTTCAGCTGTACAAAAATCGATGTTTACTCAAGATGGTCGCCCATTGATCACCTCTGATAAAAAAAAAAACTCTGCATGAAGTTGAAGATTAGTCAAAAAGATCAGAGAATTCGACACAAGAACAAGAAATCTCAGTAAATGCATCAACTACCATTATTGATGGCATGGTCTTGGTCAATAAAGTTCATAAAGATAACAGTATTCAAACTTGGAAAGTAACACTTGTTATTTATTGTATTCTTTACTGTAATAACTTTGTATGTATAATTGATAAGTTAACTAACATTGGCTTATAATATTTAAAACGAATAGTAACATATACTATGATCATGCCTATACGCACGATAAAAAAACTTGAACAAGAATAAAACGCACCTCTGACAATGAAATCAAATATAAAGTAACTGATGACTCTATAATTTGTAACAAGTCGCTAAAGCAGTTATTGGGGCACATTGAAACAAAGCAAGCTCTTACCGAATACCTGGTTGAATATACAAAAGCTAATATAAGTAGTACAGTTCGCTTCATTGTAACATATTCAAAAACAACAGAAGCAAATATGAAGTATCTATTTGCAGAAATGATGAATCATGATCACGAAGAGGCTGATACTCTGTTAATTCTACATGCTATTGACGTTGCAAAAGAAAACCCATTAAAAAATGTATTGTGCATTCACAAGATACTGACGTTTTTCTACTTTTAAGTCATTTTTATCAAGTCCTGCCACGTGTCACAATTTTCCGAACTGGTAGAGGGGACAATGAACGAGACATCTGGATTCAAAAATGTTACAAACAAATTGTTTCTAAACAAGCACAAGCTATTTTAGGTATTTTTGTTTATATTTTGTTGTTTCTCGTTTCTAATAAAAGTAAGGGTCTTTGTGAAACTTTTCATTTCTTTAGGTTTTAGACGAAACCTTTTTACGACATTAAAATATCAGAGTTATCTTTTTTTTTTTTTTCATTTGTTTTTTAGGTGCTCCAAGAAAACTTAACGGTCTTGTCACAGAGCACCGCGGAAGTGCATTTAACCAGGAAGTTCATGCCTTCCTTACCGTGACGCGAAATATGTCCAAAACTCGTTTTAAACCTGGATCTCCTCTGCTTATAAAGCAAGCGCTCTAACTACTGCACCACGGCAGCTATAGCTATATATATATATATATATATATATATATATATATATATATATATATATATATATATATATATATATATATATATATATATATATAAAATTTATTACTAAAGTTGAAAACAAAGTTTAATTTTTGATAATGCAATTATAATAAACCATTATAATTAAAAACTTTACCTATAATTTTTTTTTTACTCTACAAAAATCCCCACAACTATAAATTATTGAGTAATACATTTCAAAATATTTATAATTTGTAATATTTATAATATCTATATTATAAATATTACAAATATTTTTAATATAATATTAGTTTCAAAGTTATTATAAAGCAAATATTATAGACATTATTGTGAAGTGCAATTAATGGTGATAAAAAGATTTTTTATGATCATCATTCCAAGTCTTTAAAAACAATTGCGGGGGCTTTGCCTTTTGGAGGCCTTTTGAGTTTCGTATCTAACTTTGTGTTATCGCAAAAAAATCCACAGTTTTTCATAAAGAATTTGTTGTTCACAATTCCCCCAGAATAATCAACGCGATACTTCTTTCTACATTTAATAATAAATTTAATTTAAGAAATTAACTTTAAATATATAATTAAAAAAATATAACTATACTAAATATCTTATATAATAATTATAAGAACATAAATTTTCGTTCAATTTTTTCTTCAGCGTAAAGCCAGACGGCAGAGTTACCATTTCGACGATAATAACATGCCCGTACCGTGGGGTCGTCGGCGGCGATTGACCCGCCTATTTGTACCAAATATACATTGTTTTACGCAAGTTTTGTTATAAAATTTAAGCAAGATTTATATTTCATATTCTAAACTGTTTTTTTTTTTTCAAAAACAACAGTTTAGAAAGTTCCAAATTCCACCCCTCAAAAAAAAAATTACGGTACGGGCCTATATAATAATTCTTCTTAATAAAAATGATTGTCCGATGGTGAAGGGAAGTGGGCATTTATTCTGGAAACGAAGTATTTTAAAATTTCTAAGACAACCAAAGCGTTTAAAAGACATTAAAAAACAATCTTTTTCAGATCAAATGCCCGATAAGTAGTTTTTTTTTAATTATAAAACTAATTACCTCGCTGTGGTATCCGCAGTCAGTGTAGCTTCTGTGATTTCAGTCCATGATCCTTTTGAGTCGCAGACCCACTTGACGAAAAAAATTTAAAAGTTTCAAAACATCTATTGGAGTTTTTTTTTTTTTTAAAAAAAAGTATTTAAACTTAAAATTGTCACCTGATTGTCATAGTACGCCATTCTCGTTTTATCTCCTTGATCTGGTTCAAAGTTTTCCAGGAATGAGTAATTACCATTAAGATAAGTAGCTAATTTAGGTCGTTGAAAACTTGCTATTAAATTCCACTTATCTGGCTTGACACTGTCGTCTTTGAAATAAGCTAATAAATGAAAATTTGATTAAATCTGTTTGTCGAAAACAAAACTAGAATGGAATATATATATATATATATATATATATATATATATATATATATATATATATATATATATATATATATATATATATATATATATATATATATATATATATATATATATACATCTAAAATGTTTCTAATTTGTATTTAAAAAATGCTTCTTCTTCTGATATTAAGATTAAATTATTGATATTGAGGTTAAATTACCAAAATTGAGATCAAATTTAAGATGCAAATCAATCCGATTCGTTGAGCCTTTATTTAACTTTTTACTACTGATCTATTTAAAACTGATTACCTGTAAATATTGTTGTGTTTGTAGATTTTTGAGGTTTTGCACCAAGCAAAAACTTGTAAGTCTGATTGGCTTTCCAAGGGTAGACCAAGTAGCTCTGACCACCTGAACCTTCGTTACCAAACTGACCTAAAATTTTACATAACAGTTATTGAATGAAAACTTTATATGTTGTAGAATGATGTCTTAAATAAATTGATTTTAGAAGAAAAATATAGTTTAAAAGTGAATTTAGGATTGTAAAAAGTTGAAAAACTCCATTGTTTCTAGAGTGTTTTTTTAACTATTCATTGAGTTAGAACGTTATGCTATATATCAGATTAAGACCACCAAAGTTACTTTACCAAAAAAATTATTCTGTAAAGAAAAAAACAGAGAAAAAAAAACAACTGCCCCGAAACAAACAAAAAAGCAATTACGGAATTACTACAATATTCACATAACTTTTGTCTTTTGTTTTTATTGCTGTATTGTAAATATATTTTTGGTTTCAGTCATATTGTTGTATACCAAATTAATCAAAGTATTACGATTTACTAAAATATTTTATATTTACATTTTTGCAATTTTGAAGTGTTCTAAGGTTTACAAAATTTTGCCGGTTTTTAAAGCAACCAGTTTTATTAATTTTTGTTTACTGATTTTGTTTTCGTTTTATTATTTGTGGGGTAAAACTATGTACTTTATTTGTGGAGTACAACATATTGCCTATTATACATCGAATAATGTTTTTTTTTTAATTTTAATAAATATATTTTTAACTTTTTCTTATTGTTCTTAATCTTTTTAATTTTATTTGTTATTTTTGTAATATACTGTACTTTGCTTTGTTTTTTTGTTTGTTTTCCATTATAGTTTACAATGTTTTATCGTTCGTTTTCCATTATAGTTTACAAAGTTAAGTTCGGTGTCACTAATATAATTAAAAATTAGTTAATGAAGCGACTCCTTAAAAATGAACAAATAGAACAGACGCAAAAAACTATATTAAATTAGTGCAACTATTGTTTCTACTGAATAGAAATGATCTAAATTTATCTTCAAATTTTATAAATTTAATTCTATTTGCAGATGATTTCAATCTTTTTTATTCACACAAAGGTATTAAAATACTTTTTAGATAAAAAATATTAAAATACTTTTTAAACGCGTTAATGAACAGTTAGAAAAAGTTAATGATTGTTTTTTAAGTAACAAGCTTTCTCTGAATGCTGACAAAACGAAATATAAATTATTCCATAAATCAAATAAAACTGATAACATCCGATTAAAATTACCAATCTTTATTATAAACAAAACTATTATTAAAATGAAATCTTCAGTAAAATATTTAGGCGTGGAATTGAAAGAAAACTTACCATGGAATTTTCATATATTAGATGAAAACTCCATTGTTTAAACAATAATGTTTAATCATTCTAGAAAAAAAAAATTCTGAAAACATTGGAATGATATATAGAGCTAAACCATTTCCTAATTTTAATTCACTAAAAGGTTTATACTTTGCTTTTATTCATAGCTGCTTTTATTCATAGTCTTTTATTGCTTTATATTACATATTTTTGTTCGTTAAAATTTCTCCGTAAAGTCTTTTCAAATATATATTATGAAGTTTTTCATTGTAAAATAAATCTTTTGAAAATGTAAAAATAATTTTAAAAACATTTCAAGAATAAAAAAATATTTTTTTTATTAATGAAATGTTTAATTTTTAAAAATGTGTCATTTTTACTAATTTTATGCTATTACGACAGTCAAGAAATAAATATTATGCAAATTATAAAATTATATGCAAATAAATAAATAAATATATAATGTTAAGTATTTTTTTTAAGTTGTATTTGGTGAGATAAAATAAACAACTCCGAGTTTTTTAAAAAGAGTTGGACTAACCTATGGTAACGTTTTTTCCTTTCTTAATGGTTAAAATTTTTTGATCTTTAGGAATTTTTGACGGATCATCGGTGGTAAAAGGACTCCAGACAGAAAACAGGACACGTCGTTCAGTTTCAGAGTTGACCTAAAAAAAGTAAAAAAAAAAGATTTAATAGAAAATACTTTTTATCATTTATACTTCTAAAAAAATTATAATATAAATTGTTAGACATGTTTGTATGTATTGCTTGAAAACGAGTTATTTCAGTTACATATTACCAAAAACTTATTTTTTTTTTCAACAACAAGAGCTATAAAAAAATGTTTCTGTTTTTGGAGCTGGAGGCGAAGCCACAACAGCTTATTATAACTTAGTGTAAATAAGTTTTTTAAATTTTTTAGAGCAATATTAATTTTAGAGGGATGCGATTTTTTTGGAATAATGACGCATGATAAATGACTCTTCGAAAAAACAAATTCAAATTTTATTTGAACTTGTTTTCATATTAGTATGTGTGTATGTATGTGTGTGTGTGTTGAAAATATTTTAGTATGTGTCTATGTATGTATGTGTGTTTTTTGGTATGAACTTATTTATCCTAAAAATTCAAACCTTGAAAAAAATTTATTAACAATATATTTTCATTTTTCTCTATTTGTGTTTTGTTTGGCTGGAAACTCAAAGCATTTAGATGTCATGTCCATTGTCATTTATGAAAGCACTATTGGTGTTTGTAAACAAAAATGTAAACAAAATGAAAACATATTAAAACTAAAATAACATTGATTCCAAATTAAAAATGGCTACTGAATTATTTTGAATTTTCTCAATAGTTGCAACATTTAAAGTTTTTTTTTTTTAAACTCATCTACGTGCACCATAATAAGACATTTGATAACAAAATATAAAATTAAAATTCTCAAAATGCAGTATATACAGGGTCACACTGGCGAGGGAGGTTGGGTATTTCCCCTCCGGGTCCCTGCTATGTCTGAAGGTCCTGGGCCTCTCTATAAATCAAGATACAAATAAAACACACAAAAAAATACAAATTTCTAATAACTAATTATTGTAATTTTATTATTGTATCAATTTATATTTTCCAATACCTTTTTAAAAAAACGATATGATTAAGGGTTTAAGGTATTTTTGCTTAATTCTTTGCTCCCTATAAGGGCCCCACCTTTGTCTCCCCCTCCCCCATCCGGGTCACTTAGTGCCAGTCCGACCCTAAGTATATATATCTAATGTTGTTGAAACTAGTTCTATCCATAAAACACTAAGAATTGAAAACTTTTTTATTTCTTTGCTTAAAACTTTATGATAGTTGTGATGATTGTGATGATTATGATGATGACGATTTGAAAATTTTTGATTTGATGATGAAGGTTCGGTAACACTGTTTTGTCAAATAAATTTCAAAAACATCTAGCGAAAATTAAAAAATTAGTTAAAATGTTTTGTAAGCAACAACGATGTTCTTCATATTTGGAAAAAAAAAATACTTTCTATAAAAAGCTATTTGACTCAAGTACTGGGTGTAGCAGCACAATTGCCATGTTAGAACGTTTTTTGCACGTTCAAAAAGAAATCAAAATTTGATAGGCAAAAATATAGACTTTTGCCCTTCCAAAGTTGAACTTGATAAAGTAAATAGCTTTTGTGTTGCTACAAAACCACTAAAAATAGCAATTTAAACACTTTACAAACGAGATGCTGATTTATTGTCTTCTGAAATTGTAATACAATTTAGAAGAAAGTATTTAGCTGAAGCAAACACACCTATTAAGAAAGTATTTAGCTGAAGCAAACACACCTATTATATGAAAGTATTTAGCTGAAGCAAACACACCTATTAAGAAAGTATTTAGCTGAAGCAAACACACCTATTATAAGAAAGTATTTAGCTGAAGCAAACACACCTATTAAGAAAGTATTTAGCTGAAGCAAGCACACAGTCAGCTTGTAAAACAGCATATTTAATAAAGTATTAGTAAAAAACAAAACATAACTTAATAAACCTAATCAGGTTCAGATTTAAGTTCTCAGGAGCCCTAAGCTGAATCAATTTTTGGGTTCCTTAAAAATATTTTGTACGGAAAAATTAAGTTAAAACAGTTGAATCCTTGATATTGTATATATAGGATTAAACGTTGCTTGCTTTTGTTTCTTTAGTTAAGCGCTACGGCTTTTATATAAATTTGTTCCGGAAATTTCTTCGTGCAGAATTAATCTTAACAATTAATGTTAACAATAATCTAGAAGGAATTGTTGTGTAGCAATCATTAAAAACCTTAGCAAAATTAAAATCATTAAAAACCTTAGCAAACATTTAGAAACACACTTTGCGGCCCTTAAAAATTTGGGGCCCTATTCTGAAGCCTAGTTGGCCTATAGGTAAATTCGGCCCTGAGCTTACTAAAATATTTTTTAAACCTACATGTTTTAAATCAAAATGATCAGTTTGGGAATAAAATAAAAAGAAACAATATAGAAAATCTTGCGACCATGTTTATTCAGCAATTATTCCAGTCTAGTGAAGAAGATTCAAATGTTGAAAAAGAATTTGTTAGTGGCGATATGTCTGATGATATCAAAAATAAAATTAATGAATTAACATTAGCTCAAAAAAAATCGAAATGTTTTATTATAAAAATATAATTTGGGAATTACAATCATCAAAAGTGAAATTTGATCAAACCTAGTTTAAAAAAAAATGGCTATTTAGGAAACAAACGTATTAAGACCCAAAAATTTGAGTTTACTTTTTAGTGCTTTAAAAACTATTTCCTTAACATCTGTGGAGGGTGGAGGGCTTTTTCTAGCCTAGGATTATTTGTAATAAGATAAGAAACTTTTTAACTTTGTGTTGTTTAAGAAAGGAATAAATTTCGAGAAAAAAAAATTTTTATTGTATATACCTGCATTCCAAAATATCCTTCAGAAAATCCGTTTACCATAAAGTACGAACCAATAACATCATATCCTGTAGGTACTGTTACTTCACTGTAAAACCACTCAACATCCTTTAAAGAGATACAATAACAAAAGCTATTTTAACAAACTATTTATAATATACTAGAATTTTAAATGTAAAATTAATCAAATCCCACCATGTTAAATTATGCTAGCTAGAAAATCAAGTTATTAAAAATAAAAATTTTGTATAGATAATTTAGGGCCACTTTTTTGACATAATCAAAAAGTTTATTTTAACATGATTGTAAATTATTCTCTTAAATGTAAAATGTTTACCGTTTTAGATGTCTCAAAACCTAAATGAACAGAAGGTCCTCTTCGTCCAAAATGAAACATTTCGTCAACGTTATCTTTTACAAAAAGAGTGTCTTGCGTAGAAATACTACTTCCGGTGAGAACAAGACTTGACAAAACACCAAAATTATCGGTTGCTTTTTTGACTCCCTGAAAAAAATTATATCACTTAAATTTTTGAAGATCAAATTAAATAGTTACTTTAATAACTTTAAATAAAATGTACTGTATAAAAATTTACAGGAGTAGAGCTTTCCCTTAAACTAAATAATAACATATGGTTATAGAACTATTATAAAGTAAAACTAAATAATGGTTTATAAAAATTTGCAAATATTTCATTAAATCATCAAATAAATGCGTTTAGTTCATTGATTTAAAATATTTAATTTATAGTTGTCGTGCTGCTTTCGATAAGGATTATCTCTTATCGCGTACAACAAGCATTTAACTAATTAAAGTTTCTGTTAACAGATGGAAAATAACAAATTAAGTATATTTGAGGATTGATTACATTGAGGATATCCAAAAGTTGTATCCAAAAAATAATCTTATTCAGAAGGGTTTGTTTGACTAACCTGAATTTGAATAGTAAGATACCCAATTGGAATGTTGGTCCATTCCCCGACATAAAATTCTTTTGAAATATTGTTAGGATCCACTTTCACCTCAAGACTTTTTTGCAAAATCGTGATCCTATTACGAGTAAAAATTATTATCTTTTTGGAAGTAAAAATTGTTATCTTGTTGGAATTAAAAAGTGTTATCCTGTTGGAAGTAAAAATTGTCATTCTATTTTCTGTGAAAGTTGTTATCCTGTTACAAGTCGAAATGAAATTATTTGAAAATTACTCTGACAAAATTAAATAATTAAACAGTAACTACATGACGCAAAAAATGGATTATCGAGTATCGATCATTTTTTGTTATCAATTGCAATCATCAACAACTAATAACATATACAACTAACAGCTTCTGATAGCAAATCAATGCGATTGTAGTTTTGGTTTTAACCGAAGTTTTAATTTGAACCGTTAGCAAAATTTTGATTTCATTTTTATTAAGTATTTATTAATTTCTATTTTCTTTAGGCTTTTATAAATTCAATTTATTAGTTTTAATCTATTTTTAGGTACTTTTTATATATTTAGTATGAAAAAAATGAAAAATTTCGGTTGAAAAACATAATGAAAACCAAAGTTTCGATTTTATTATCCTAAATTTTATTTAATTTAAAAAAATAATTTTTATGGCAACAGAATAACATAACGATATTTTATCTACAAAACATTTCTAAAAAAAATTTTAGATTTATTGTTTACCAACTATTAAATTTTTTGCTGCTAAAAAAAGTCTATTAAAATATAATTTGTAAACCTATATGTTACTTAAAAATATCAAAACAGCACGCATCCTCAGCGAAAACAAATTTAGTTTTAACAATTGAATAGAAAGTGAACATGAATTTTAAAAGTGAACATGAATAAAGTTTAGTGAAAGCTTTTAGTTATTTTTCTGGATTTTTTTTAAAGAATTTTTATGTTATTTTTATTATTTATTTATGATTAGTTATTTTTTTATTATTATTTAAGGTGGTAAGAAGGCGTTAAAAAAGTTGGTTTTGTAAGTATTTTACAATCTCCATTGGTTAATCAAATTTACCTAGGAAGACAATCAGGTTAAAAAAATGAGTATTCTTTGGAGAAGCCATTAAATTGCATTCTGGAAGTAATTCTTTCATTAGTGCTTGCCCCATTCTAACAACAATAATAAATTGCATGACATGATTGCTATGGGAAGTTATTTCCGATGCATGGAACAAACTATGTGCTATTAGTTTCCTAGTTGCTAGTTTAAAATTACGGGTTTTTCTAACTTGACGAAAAACATCATTGCCCAATCTCAATCAACATTTGACCAAAGAACAAGTTCTAGACAAAGAATGATTACCTGGAATATCGATTATCTGGATTATTCTTTGACTGCCTTGACTTCTGAAAAAATTTTTTAAAAAGTTCAATCCGTGAAGTCAAGCTAGCCTTTGCTAAAACTACAAAGCGGTTTCATATTCCTTCACTTGAATCAACTAAGGTGAAAAGATAATTTTCAACAGTTATATTTATACTAACCAATGAAAACTATTACAAGGTTGTTAACTTTATAATCAACATTCATATCATCATTTTATTTAATAAAACTCAACTTTGTAAAACATATGAAGTTAAACGTCTAAATAAATAATAATCGTAAAATTGCATTTTTAAATGAAACTTTCTAATAATAACTAGTTAAGTTTAGCCGAATTTATGATTTTAGTTTTGGTGAAATATAATCAAATTAAAACTTCTATAATGGATGTAACTCTTTATTTGAAATTAATTTTCATACAATATTTCAAGGGATTATTGATACCCTCGTTGTCAAGTATATAAATATATAAAATTTGTTTTGGTGAAATGTTTTTGATATGTCGCTTTCGGTTTTGAGAAGTAGTAAACTGTATCCTGTTTTGGTCGACAAACAACAACAATAACAACAACAACAACAACAACAACAACAACAACAAATTAATTTTATTAATTGATAATAATTATAAAGAAAATGAAATCTTATAACTTACTTTATAGTACTTTTTCCTGTTGCATTCATCTTAATTGAAACTTTCAAAGATCCGCTTTTTGAGATGTAAACGTAGGCCTTGCAGACTGCATCTGGCGCGGTCCAATCATCTAATCCATTTTGAGTAATCGAACCGCCTTTATTGCACCAAGCGTTACCTTGCATAGGAACAGTAACCTTTGGATCAGACACTAAAAAAACATTACAATATAAATATTGACCACTATTCCAAAAAAGTGTTTCTATCTAGTTTAAGAAACTATAGTAATCATTAAAAAAAAACAATATCTCCACTAACCCGAGTAGCGTAGCGTCAAAACAACGTCAAAACAAGGTTGGAGTAAATGGGCCGGTAAAACATTGGCCCAACGTGTTTTGCTTGGGTAATTGTTATTGTTTTTTTTCCTTAGTCTTTATTAGCAAAATCTTTAGCAAAACATTCTTATGTGACTAAAGTCGAAACATACAAAAATTTGGGTTTAGGCCAAATTTTTGTATGTTTTGACTTCCGGATATTTAAGTTTTGAGCTAAACTTAAATACCGGGAAATCCTGGATCTGCCGCTGAACGCTTTATAAAAGTGTAACTTAAATAGATCATCAAACAAAAAATCAACAATATATATATGTTAATGTTGAACAATATATATATATATATATATATATATATATATATATATATATATATATATATATATATATATATATATATATATATATATATATATATATATATATATATATATATATATATATATATATATATATATATATATATATATATATTGCAGTAAATTTCAGAAAAAATAAATAAAAAAGAAAAATACTTTTTAATTGCTTTTCTTCCTGATTTTTTGTTATATTAAAGTTCTTTTTTATTGACTTGATAAATTAAGGTCTGCTTTTGTGATGTTGATTTACTAGGATCTGCTTCTGTAAAAGATAAAAGATTAAATATAGATTGAGTACTAAAAAAATACTTTAAAAAAACAAAAGTAAATACATTGCGTTAAAGTATGCAGTACTTGCTTTGAAAGCAAAATGTATGGTGATTAAACTCCATGCGTACATATATACTTGTACATATGCATTTACATGTATATATAGAGTTTGGAAATATTTTCATAAATATTGGTAAAGGCGAAAAAGTGATTAGACCTACATGTCTATACTGACTTTACATTAGTTTTAGTAAAAATACATTCCTTATGCACAAATATTACTTTTATAATCAACAAAAATCGATTTTGGGATGTGCTGTTGTATTTTTAATCCCTTTAAATATGTGATTTTCTTATTAACTGTGCCGAAATGAAATTTTCATGTATTATATTTCCAGGTTTTGTGCATTTATTGGAATACTTATTTTAATTTTATCTTTTGAACAAGGCAGACATAGCTTGTTTAAATGAAAATGATGACTTCTTCCTATGATGACATACTGACGAGTTAGGTGTATTGGAATATTGAAGAGTTGAGGTAACCTCTTTTTTTTTTCATAAAAACAATATATTTGTTAGTGAAGTAAAAAGAAACTTTTACTTTAATAAAAAATATTTGGTTCAAAAAACACATTAAACGTAATATCTCTTATACGTATGCGCGAAACTCTACACGCTGCTGTGTAGCACGAAAAAGTTAATTAGAATGATTACCCGTAATTTCTGGCATTTTTGAGGAAAGACTCTAAGGTCGAATGAAATTTTTAAGTTACCTTTGATGCTAACCAGCCCTCTCCACCCCTAGGCCATCATAGGAGCAGTAGTTGCCTATGATGGCATACTTGTGCTTTTTTTTTAAATAAAAATAACTAATAAAAATAAAAACTGATGAAAGATCCTAAGGTTATTATTGTTCTACTTGTAACATAGAATGTATCGATATCAAAAGTTTTATTCTTGGTCTTCAGGATACTGAATAATGAAGCTTCAAAGTTAAGTATGCCATCATAAGCGCCTTTCCCCTATGTATACATACATGTGCGCATGTGTAATAATCATTTTGTCTCATCGCCGTATCCGTTTCAAAACATATTTTACAATAACTGAAATATTGAAGAATAATAAATATATAAATGTAAAAGGTAAAAAAATTAAAAAATAACTGTTAAGTTAAAAATATGGATGTGTTAAAATGCTGACAATAGATAGGGCTGTATACAACAATAAAAAAAAAAATTATTTTTGATATTTTTAAATTTAAAACTTCATAAAAGTTATTTTTTGTAAGGTTTTCTGCATTATTAAAATAAATCAAGATCTCAAACCCAAGTAAACATTGGGTTTGCAAACTTGGGCCTAAAATTTGAGATTTAGATTAAAAACTTTTTTTTAAATAATTTTTTTTTTATTTTATCTACCTTATTATATATTAGCCTATCTACTTAAGAATTAAAAAATTACAAGTATAAATTAAAAAAATACTTTCATTATTTCGGATATGGAGCCCATAAATAAGTTTTTTTTTTTAATGAAGTGCAATACAAAATTTCATTATTTCAAAATTTAAAATAAAAAGTATGATTTCCATTTATCATTTCATGACATCTCTTCAAACAACTTAGAACAACTTAAAACAACTTCGCTTTTCACGGGTAAATATTGATTTTACTATTTTGAACTCTTTTTGAAACGTTTTAGAAAAACTTCAAATTAAAACAGTTTGTAAGAAAATATTTTTTTCTGTTGTATTCAACTTCCTAAAGCCAAGGACGCTACTACATTAAAAAAGGTTTCTTACTTTTATATTTGGTTATTATTATTGTCTTCAATATTATTGCAACATTTAAGACAATTATAACCACCCTGGAACATATGACAGTGGAGTGCAAACTCAGACAAACTAGGCCACTGCTTAAGAACCAAATTATTTTAAAATAAGGCGGCTTGTGTACATACTTTTACACTTATAGCATACATGACTGCACTCTTTTCTGCACTATCATGGAAGAGCTCACGAAATTTTTCTAAGAAATTTTTATTATTCTTGTATAATTTGTTATTTAGTTTTAATATTGATTGGTAATAGTAATAATGTCAAATAAATAAAAATACAATAAAACATACCTCAAAAGTTTCTGAACTGGCTACAAGATCGAAATTTTGTCTGCAAATGCAAAAACTTTCTTTATTCATATTTATAGTAAACTGGTATATTGATACATTTTAGGACTTATTTAGAGGTATTAAATTTTTATCTGTTTTTTGCATAACTAACGAGGCAAATGCTTAGTTACCACCTTAGAAAAATCCATTAACGCTGACTCTATCCGCTATTTTTACGCCGCGGCGTTTGTTGTAACATAAGTTTATAAATAAAGTAACTGAAAGAATAAACTTGCTTATTTATGTGAGTAGCTTTTTTCTATGAAACTTTTATAGTTTACATACAAAATACCTATTTATTTAATCATTTATGCTTTCAGTTACTTTATGTAAAACATTAATAGTTTCCGAAGTGCGTCTTTATGTAAAAATAGCATCCTTGTTTTACATTCGGGAAAAAACAAGATTTTCGTAGTTTAAGAAGTCATAATTATATTCAACTTTTAATTGATTTTTTTTTTTAGTTTTTTTTTTTCAATTTAAAAGATCTTTTGAATTATTTATTTTATTTAAAAATGAAGTAAGTTTTTTAATTTTTTATAAAGAAGTTTTAATTCTTTATAAAGAAGTTAGAGTAAAAGTACCACAAACCAGACAGTGCGCAAAAGCGAAAAAACTAAATATCTTCACTAAAAATAAAGATATTTGCAAATTTTAAAAAAGTTTTTTATTTTTAGTGTGTGGAAATTTATAAAATTAAAAAAAAAAAACTATTAAAATGATTGTCTTAATAAGATATTCAAAGTCAAACAAAATCTTACCCTAAAAATCAAATTTTTTTTTGGAAATTAGGTTCTTAGCAAAAAAGATTTAAAAAGGCAATTTAAAAACAAAGGAAGCTATTTTGTTGGAAATTTTCTGCTAATTTCAAAAATAGTTTTAGATTTTTATAATCTTACTCTGTTAGAAAGTTATGACGGAAATAAGATTTTCTTTGCTTTGCTTCTCTTCTGATAATTACTTTGGTATCACCTTTGTCACCATTGAAACCAGTTTCATCACAATTCCAAAAATGCATGGCTTTACCAAAACCTATTTGTGCTAAGTCAAAATGTTTTTTTAAAGCATCAAAATAACGGGAAATAATTTCTGGTGTGCATAACCCTGTTCTCAAAGATGCAATATTTGTAGTTGTTCTTTCGCTTAATCCTGAGTACCTTTGACTCATAAATCCTTTGTACAATTTGCGACCAGGCGTCGCAAATTGTACAGCAAAAAAGTTCATAGGTTAATCTGTTTATCATTTTTTCACTCTAATTGGATTTTTTATTATGTTAAAGTTAATCTATTTTATTATTTTTTCACACTGACTGAATTTTTTTCATTTGGGATTTTTAACTTTTCACACTTTCATGTTAACTAGTTTTGCATTTATACTGATGAAGTTAAAGTGCAAAAGTACACAAAGTAACCACAAAAGTGCTTTGTTTCTTCAGTTTCTAAAATTTGTAACTAAATTGAATTTACTAAATTTATAATGGCAAAAAATACAACAAGTAAGAAGCCCTACACTGAGGAGACAATAAAAAAAACGCATTGAATAAGATTGAAAATGGCGAGTTAAACTTAAGAGGCGCAGCTCAACTCTACTGCATACCAAAATCAACATTATCCGACCGAAAATCAAATAAGACTTTAGTAGTTGGTAGTGGCAATACAACAAAATTGAGCCCTTTTTTGAGTTAACCTTAGTTCATCTTCTTCAGATGCTTGGCGATTAGGGCTTTGGTAGACAATTATACCAAGTTCAAAGTTTAGTGAGAGACTATTTAATTGAAAATGATAAAACGTGTTTGTTCGAAAATGAAACGCCTGGTCGCAAATTGTACAAAGGATTTATGAGTCAAAGGTACTCAGGATTAAGCGAAAGAACAACTACAAATATTGCATCTTTGAGAACAGGGTTATGCACACCAGAAATTATTTCCCGTTATTTTGATGCTTTAAAAAAACATTTTGATTTAGCACAAATAGGTTTTGGTAAAGCCATGCATTTTTGGAATAGTACAGCAAAAAAGTTTTTTTTTTTTTTTTAATTTATTCAGTGGCTCGATGAAATGTTTATTCCTCACATTCGGAAATATTAGGGTTCACCATATGTTACTTTTCGATGGCCAGAGCACACACGTTTCATTAAGTGTAGCCTTAAAGTGTAAAGAAAACAATATAACACTAATTTGCATTTTTGTCCATTCATCTCAAATTCTGCAGCCTTAAGATGTTGATGTATTTTGCCATGTTAAAGATGTTTGGCGTGATATTTTAAGAAAGTTTTATGATGAAGTAGTTTTAGTAATTTATCTAAAAAATTTTCCCAAGTCTCCTTGCACAGTAGTATAGAAACAACAAAGCTTCACTCGTACTCAAATTGTTGTTGGTTTTAAAAACACTGGGTTCGCTCCATTAAATCAAGACAAAATTGACAAATCAAAATTACGAGTTTGTTGAACTTTTATTAATGCCTTAATAACATCATCAGCAGTTACAAAATCACCACGCAGCCAAAGTTTAATGCCTCAACACAAACTTTAAATACACCTGTAACTCCAACTTCAATTTCAACTTTAAATTTAACTTCTCAAGAAAAATTGGCAACATGTGTAAAAATCAATTTTGAAAGAGCTCACTTGAAGCAATTTCAATTTCAAAATGCTTACAAACATCCTACAAAGAAATGTAATAACAGTGGCTGGTCAAGCTTTTACAGAAGAAGCATAGTTAAACAAGTTAAAAGAGGAAGAAGACGCAAAGCTATTAAAACGAACATATGTTGAAATTGCAGAATTAAAAACTCCTGCCAAGAAAGCCAAAATAAAAAGTACAAATAGTGCAAAAAGTGCCCAAAGTTTTTTGAAAATGAAACGCCAGAGATGCAAGCTTTATGGAAAACTTGTAAATAATGAAGTTGCAGTTTGTGGCTTTGTGAAACTTGTCTCCCAAAAAGATATACAAAAGGCGAAAAATTCTTTTGCACGAAATGTTACAGAACCTACAGAAACCTTTTTTTTTTAATTTTATGCTCAAGCTTACTTATTATATATATATACTATTTTTTAATTTTTTTTTCCCAATTTTTTCTGTTCGTATTATTATTATGTGTATATTTTAACAATAAAAATAAAAATACTAAATTTATCAATTTATCTATGTTTTTTCATATAATTTGGAACTGTTCGCTTTTAGGGACAGTTTTCCGAAAAGCGGACACTTTTAAAAAAAAAAAAAATTATTTTCCACAGAAACTTCAATTTTTTTTTTTTTTTTTTAGTACAGAATTGCTTTAATAAACAACTATATTCCAGAAAAAAATATCCTACAAATTCTTAATATTAAAAAAGTTATTCAGCTTTTTGTGAAGTCCGGTTTGTGGTATTTTTACTCTATAGATTTAGTTAATAAGTTTTTTTATAGCACCATAATTTATTAGATTTTAGTATAAATGACAGTTCTGTACCAAATTTTCATATAAATGACTGTAGTTATAGGAACCCTGGAGACTGGAGTCAGTCATTGTGTACCTTATTCCTAGACGTGTAATACACATAATTGTTATTGTTATTATTGTTATTATTATTATAATGACTATTATTACTATTATTTTTATTACTTATATTATCATTAATTTTATTTTATCGTTTCTTGTTACATTTTGTTTTTTATTAGGGTTTTTTTTTTTGTTATTTTTGCTATTAAAATTTTAATTAGAATTTTGAAAAAATTCCTTACAGCTGTTTAATTTTATTAGATATAGATTTTAGCTTTGTTTTCAGAGAGTGTTCGTTGTTTAAATTTATTAGTATTTCGTTTCTGGAATCAGATTTATAAACATGAAAAATATATTTTGATAAATATTTATTTGAGATATATTTAGTGCGTTCATTTGTTCCAGCAAGGGGGTTGAGCTTGAGTAATTTTGTTTTTGTTGTACACTAGTCTTGAAGTTTTTGACGTAGGTCTTAGATGACGTAGGTAACTGGTTCTAACTTAGATATGTGGGTACTGCCCCATGCTATATTGGCATACATAAAATAGCTATGTATAAATAAAAAGAAAACAAGTTTAAGACCTTTTTGTGACAAAAAATGGTCTTGCCTTGTAGAGTGAAACTATGTTCTTTAATATTTTTGTATTTATGTAGTTGATGTGAGGTTTCCAGGAAATGTGTTCATTAATTAGAACCCCTAAAAAACTTTGTATTCAGAGCTTTTTTAATGGTGATATTTTCTATTTTATTCTAGGTAGGTTCAGCAGTATTTTTTTAATTTGTTGATTTGAGCGGAATAGTACAAAGTTTAGTTTTTTCTAACCTTATTTGATTTAAACCTTATATTAATTTTTTTTAGTTCATAATATAGTTTTAGTTTTTTTAGTTGTTTTTTTTAAGTCTTCAATTGTCCTTGATGATTAAATTAAGATTGTCTCATGAGAAAACATTTTTTTTAAATAAGAATGTATCATGAGAAAACATTTTTCAAAAAAATAAGATTGTATCATGAGAAAACATTTTTTTAAAAAAATAAGATTGTATCAAAACATATTTTTTTAAAAATAAGATTGTATCATCAGAAAACATTTTTTAAAAGATATGAGACATTTGGAAGATCGTTTATATAAATAAGAGGAATAAAATAGAACATTTTTGGGGTACATCACATTTTTGATTTTAATAAATTTGAGTTGCTTTTCAACACTTTGTTGTCTGCTAATAAGGTAATTTTTATATATTTAAAATATTGATTTTTTACGCCATAGTTTTTCATTTTTGTCAGTAAAATCTCATGGTTAACGGTGTCAAACTTTGAAAAATCAATAAAGATCCCAAAAGTGGTTTTTTAAAAATGATTTATATATCTTATTTGAGAGGTCAAGGATTGCATGCTCATCTTTTAAATATATTATTTGGGAATTTAATTTTTGATGCAAGATCAGCACCAATGTTGGAAAAGTAGTTGTTAAATTCGTTGGAAATATCTCGCTTATTGTTTAATTCACTTTCATTACTCTAGAAGTTTGTTAGAATCAGATTTACTTTTACCAATTATTTCCTTCATAATGTCCCGTGTCATTTTCAAGTTTTCTTTAAATTTTTGTATTTGG